TGTGACATAGTCGGCATATGAGTTCCCCATTGTACATGCCAATTTTGTTCAAGTGTCCCTTTACTGGGGCGTGCTCAGTCATTAACCCTGTTATCACTTTCAACTGGTTCCTATTCATTAAGAGTAGTTCTCCAGTTCTTTTGGGACATGGTCTGCCTATGAAGGCTTTTCCATGTGCCTGTTTTGGGGTGCTTCTCCAATAGTTGATATGTTGTTCCCGAATCCAGTCGTTTATGAAACCCAGGACTGTACTTTTTGGTACTCCTGGTTTGTGTCTGGTTCCGGTGTTTCTTCTGACCCTCTTTTTGCAAGTTTGTTAGCCTTTTCGTTACCTTCAGTCCCTTGGTGACCTGGCACCCAAAATAGTTTTACTCTATTTCGGTCTGCCAGTGTTCTTAGTTCTTCGATGCATTCCCATACCAGCCTCGACGTAACTTTCTGACTCGATATGGCCTTAAGTGCCGCTTGGCTATCTGACATTATTTGATTATGCTGATTTTCGACAGCTCTTTCATTGTTCGTTTTTGTACATTGCAAAATTGCGTATACCTCGGGCTGAAATACCGAGGAATGTATTCCTATAGCATAGCTATGGTTAGTATCAGGGTTTTTGGAGAATACTTCTGCCTCAGTGCCTTCCGCAGTATTAGACCCGTCTGTATACCAGGTTTGTTTCTGTCGTTGGGCAGTGGGCTCCCTTGTGGTGATCTCCGCTCTTTCCTGTATTGAAACCTCAAATGAAGTATTAAAAGAGTACCTCTTGGTTATGTGGTCTGATCTCATGTCTAGCACGTCTCCTGTCATTAACCTTGAGATACTCATGTGACCTGGCCTAATGTCAAGATTTCCCAGTGTATTCACTAATCTGTAAGCACCTAATCTTTCCTCCCCTTGTATCACATAGTCAAGAGGTGGGAGTCTTATTAGTGCTTCCATTGCAGCAATGGGGGTTGTTTTCATTGCCCCCGTTATTCTGAGGCAGGCAAGTCTTTGTACCTTGCTTAGCCTCGTATTGCTTTCCTTTGCTGTGTCTTTGGCCACCACACCAAAGCTGCGTATGTTATTATCGGTCTCACCATCATGTTATAAAGCCAATATACCATGACTGGTTTTAACACCCATTTTTTTTCCAAAGGATCGCCTTGCCATCATTAACGAGGTTTCCGCTCACCTTGTGGTTTTTTTTTAGATGCTGGTTCCAGGTAAGTCTTGAGTCAATCATAACCCCGAGATATTTTACCTCCCCCTTAAGCTGAGTGCTTGTACTTCTTAGGTTTAGAGGTTCTAGTCCCTCCAATTTCCTCCTGCGGGTGAATGCAATTATGTCAGATTTGTTTGGGCTAATGTTTAGCCCTTCCACCTCTGTCCATTTTGTTACTATATTAAGAGCCTCTTGCATTCAATCTCTTACTATAGTGTTGTATTTTCCCTGTGCCATGATCACTAGATCATCGGAATATCCCAGGGTTCAATGTCCCTTATCTTTGAGAGCCCTAAGGAGCCCGTCCACTACAAGGTTCCACAGGAGTGAAGACAGCACTCCGCCCTACGGAAATCCTCTTGTTACCCGTGCCGCTATTGTCTCTCCAATAAGGGTTGTGTGTATAGTTCTCTCCCTTAACATAGAGTCGATCCAGGACACGCATGTGTCCTCGATTCCTTTGTGTTTGAGAGATCTAATGATCGATTCAACGGAGGTATTGTCAAATGCACCCTCGATATCCAAGAATGCTCCCAGCATTACCTACTTGTTTTCCAGTGTGTTCTCCACCCTTTTTATTAATTGATGGAGAGCTGTTTCATTTGATTTCCCTGCACTATAGACGTATTGGTCTTGGTATATTGGCCTCTGAACCAATATCCCGTCTCTAATATACCTATCTAGCAGTTTTTCCAAAGTCTTAAGTACAAAGGACATAAGACTTATTGGTCTTAGGGACTTTTCCGTTTCATGTCCCATTTTCCCAGGTTTTGGTATAAAAGTTACCCTAATATTTCTCCAAGCTTTTGGTATGTGTCCAAAGGCCAGGCTACTTCTGAGTATGTTACAGAGTCTGCTGTATAAAATATCAGGACCTCTTTGTTACATTATTGGATAAATCCCGTCCATGCCCGGTGATTTATATGGCTAATTGCCCATTTTAGTTTATCATAGTTCACCACTTGTTTGGCTATCCTCCAATCTTCCCTGTTGGCTCTATTATAAGCTTCCAGTTAATTTAATTTTAACTAAATTAATTTAATACCTTATACTACGCCTCTGTCAATAATTGATTATTTGAAAGGATCATCCAGGATTATTCAATTTTGTTTTACGAAGGTTTATATCTCGTTTTGCGATCAGGAAATTATTGAAATGTTTACATCTTTGCATTCGAAAGGGTTATACAAATCGCTCCTGCTAGCTAATCTGCGATTATAATCTATAAATATCGGAGTGTGATCTGTGAATATTTAACGGATTTTAGTTTTACAGCTGCATCTTTGCATCCAAGTGAAATAATATTATGCCAATACATACTTCAAAATGAAATAATATAAAAACCAGATAACAAACATTCTTACATATTCTTTTTATAAATATGTATATCATAAGAATATAATTTATATACATTAAAAACGTTTTCAAGATTTACTAAGTATATGCTACAGAACGTTGTTTATATATGCTGTGCATTAACTGAGAAAATACTTAAGTATGTGTACAGTTTGTAATAATTTGTTAGTATTTAGTGTTTAGCATATACTGGGCGAAACATTTTATGATGGACACTCAATACAGAATGTTTTATTAGTCGGTAGAGCACGATACTCTTAATCTCGGGGTCCTGTGTTCGAGCCCCACGTTGGGCGCCAAAATGTTGTAACACTTTTTGTTGCCTTTTTCAGATGGGGCGCATGGGGCCAAGAATAGCTACAAGAGCACGGCAGCTCTATAGTCTGGGAGCAGGGTTTATGGGTCGTGAAAACTTCCAATAATGGGCCCCATTTATTTTTGATGTATTAAATCAAAACAACAAAAATATTCTACAATTTCCTTTATTTCCTGGCTAGGTGACAACAAAAAAAACTAATGTTGAATAAGTACTATGATTTGGAATTTTTAAATATTTACAATTTTTCCACCCATTAACGGTTTAATAAATAGAAACGTTTCATGTTAAACTTTAAATGCATTTACAAGTCCATTTATGCAAGAATGGCTTGAGCGATTATCTTAATTAAAATAATGTACATGTAATTAAATTTGACGTACCCCCTCCTATAGCTGTATTCAATGAATCTTAAGATTAAAGATTTTATATTTATGATAAAATAAAATACTGCATAAAAATAAACCAAGCCTGGCACTACTATAATTGAAAGTTCATATAAACTGAAACTGGGTGGGACTCACCAAAAAACTTCTTAAAAATAAACTGGGTGGAAAAACCGGCGTCCCATTAATTGGGGAGGTAGACCTCTCATCTAGATTGGTCTACAAATGAATATAGGTCCCTCTTCCCAGGTATCCGCCCCTCTGGGGTTTCACTGCAACTTTTTAGTTGTATCATGATGGGTCCACCAGGACATTTTTGAAATTACCTTGGGCTCCCCACCAGCTCGAGAATAGGATAGGGTCAAATCCAGGTAGGAACCTGCTATCATGGAGAGTACTCGTATTATTATCAGAACTACCAACAACCGGACTATGTCCACCATAAGGATGATAAGCCACCACGATGGGTCGGCCATAAACGAAGACTGATATTTTTTTCAGTTTTGTTCCTTCTTTTATAATTATACTCGTATATAAAATATATCATATTATATCAAATCTCCCGCTGCCTTGTTTTTTACTCACATACTTACCTACACTTTTGGAGTAATTTTTAAACTTATTTGGGGGTATCTACTTGATGTCGCAAACCAACGAAAATCAAATACATCATCAGTACAACCAGTGATAGAACTTTGTTTACGGTATAAACTTAACTCAGAATCAATTTTTAATAATTTTAATTTTAAATAATGGAAACACGTCATTATGGGAGAAGCAAAATAATCTATTTCATTTTAGTTTTTTGGTCCTAACACTCAACATTATTGCGTTTACTAGTGAATTATTAGATCCTTCATGCAATATGTGGGAAACATTTATTCAGGTATAAAAATTTGTTTTTATATTGGATGATAATTTTTACTTGTAAGCATTTAGAACGTTCTCAGAATATGAGGTACATACTGGGTATATGACTTTTAGTATCTTCTAAGAATATGATAGTAAAGCATAAGCTACGTATATTTTATAGAAAATACATTTAAGGCAAGTGCTTATTTTATACTTTTTAGAATATACTTCTAAAGTACGTGCATACTATATTCATTTTAGGAATATACCTAGGTTCTTAGAACATTCTAAAAAAGACAACATAAACAGATCGTTCTTAGTATAGGTAGTCATAGTGAGTTAGTTAATTAGCAAAATAAATGACTGGATAATATTTTGGACTTTAATTGTCCAACTAAGTGACAGGTAAATCTTTCAACTATTGTGAAATATACATCACTGTAAATACAAAAACAATTGTTAAAATGTTAGTTTCAACTATAGATTTATAACTATAGAGTTATATTATACGAGGGTGGACTATCAGGATATCTAAGGATATCACAGATGTAGGAAAAATTTTAAAATTTGGAGCCTATTCAGCTAGTATATTGTCATCAATTGCGCTCTTCCGGTTATACCGGAAATACACCTTATTTTAAATACAACACCCTATATATTATTAATTTTTTTGATTCAACTCATGATTCTAGGCTGATCATGTTCTATAGCTATATGAAAACATTGATTTGATGTCTATTTCTAAATTTTTCAATTTTTTCTACATCCACTCTATGAGATATTAATCTTGCCATTCTCATAATGGTTGTCATTTACTGTACTGTTTCTCTGTTCTTTGAATTTTTATCTATGTAAACTATAAATTTGAAACGGAATTATTTTATTTCAGTTTAAAGAAGATGCTCTAAAAGCCGTAAACCCACATCTCTTTACGATAGCAACACTCACTGGACATGCCCATCGCACTGTCGGAGAAGGATATTCCATCGGTAAGAAACCAAAATAATAAATATACGAAACACATTTAAAAAACTATTTCTCGCATATACATTTTCTCATAATATACTGCTTAACAATTGAACTGGATTATTCCGATTGTCTTAAAATTAAAATTTTAAAATATTAAATTAATCGCACTGTATACTATTTATAACCGACAATTGAACTGGTTAACAGCATTCTCAGATATTACAATTGGCTTATAAGTTGCAAAAAAATTGAGGAACAATAACAATTCCCTTGGCTTAACATTTATAGTAAGACCAGTCTATAGTAAATGCGTCAATAACAAATGAATCAGGATCCCTTTTCCAAGAAACCTATTTTTTACACTTTGCATTAGAACATGAAGCAAATAAGTCTATTTCAGGCATACCAAATCTGAGAATAATTTGTTGGTAAGCATTTAAATCTAATGAATACTCTGTATCAATCGAAATTGAACGTGATTCTATATCCGCATTTGTGTTAAGTCTAGATTCGATGTAAGATGCAAAGATAAATAAAGCTCTCGCTTCACACCATTGCCATATGTAGTGAGCTAAATTACCAAGTTTTAAAAATTTTATACCTCCCATTCTATTAATATATGAAACCGCCGTAGTGCTATCAATTCTTAAAAGTATAGATCAAGATTTTTCATTTTTGGCAAAATTCTTGAGACCACTAAAAGTAGCCATTAGTTCCAAATAATTAATATGATAATCCATTGTATCTTTTGTCCAAAAACCATGAATCCTTTCGCTCTCACAGCATACCTACACCCCATCCAGATTGAGATGCATCTGTATAAATAACTAATTTGTAGCTATGTTGGGTTATTGAGTTTATAGCAACTGGCTCCATTTTAATCTAAATATCTAATTCTATACGGCCATTATAGCTGCCCCCCTCCTTTTTTAAGGCTAAATATGTTTTCCTTTCCAAAACTTTTGTATAAACATAACCATATTTGACTGTTGGGCAAATAGTAATCAAAGTCCCAATTAAGTTAGCAAATCTACGAATTTTACAAACATTACATTATTTATCTTCTTTTTAGGTAAAGAAATACTATTAAAAACAAAACCCAGAAATAAAATAACCTGACTTGGGTTCAAAATACTTTTCTCAGCAATAATTATGAACCCCAACCACGTAAAATGTGTACAGTTACTTTAACATTTCTAATGCACTCAGATTTTGTATCCCCAAACAATATAAAGTCATCTAGATAATTATTAACAAGTATGCCCTTAGTTTTTAAATATTGTGTAACTGGTTTTAAAATTTTTATAAACAAAAAGGGGACTAAAGACAATCCAAATAGTAATACATTGAATTGATAACCTGCACTTTTATATTTAAATCCTTAATATCTTCGATGGTATGAAAAAATAAGCATTCTTGAGATCAATTGATTGCCATATAACAATCTTTTGTAATTAGATTTTTAACGGACCTGTAATCATCTAATTTGAAATGTGGAGGGGATAAGAACCTATTCAACTGCGCTTAAGGTTTAGTACAAACCTCTTTCGTCCACTTGACTTTTCTACTAAGAAAACTGGTGATAAATAATCCATATTGCTATCGCTAGATTCACATAATGAAACAGCACCTATATTTATTAAATTATTAATGAATGCATTCATATCTGCATTAAATCTTTTATTCTTAACAGTTGACTTAAAAGAAGGGGTATTTATAAACGAAATAGTATTTAATATAAATCTATTATTTGTTAATTGTTTACATTTGATTTAAGTCTGCCAGCCTAACGTACCTCTATGATCGATGACTCTGATTTCTGGTAGGAGGATATCTCTTGTATGGCGTTCTGGTTTCGAATTGTCTCCTCCTTTGCCTCTGCTGTTGAGGGAACTTGTTTGTTTTTAAAGTAAAAGCTGACAACTTAATCTTCCCTCTTGAAGGCTGTGTCTTTCAGTTTAAAGAAGGCGCTCTTAAGTCCATACTGGTCTTTTTTAAGGCTTGCATAGCCTTGCATCGCCCTGATAAATCCGCTCCAGACAGTTCCGTATCTATCTTTCCATCACGGGCGGTTTTCCTCATCTCCAAATTTAGCCTTGGCTCCAATACATGTTTTCGATGAAGTGACACTAAGTAATGAGTATGATTGAGTAGCTTAGATGCATCTGCAAGAGGACCTAAACATCCATTCAAATCTTGCGTTGACTAATTGATGATAATATTAAGAGCGCTTATTCCTTTCCCTAAACATACCTGGATATGTTTCATATAAGAGTCTCTTTTAAGGTCTTCTGCTGAGCACAATAGTTTCACTTCTGAGTTTATTTTGGGCGGGCTAAGACATTTGATATTATCAATCCATTTTTGCAAGAGCTGGTCCCTTTGATTCTTTTCCAGACTACTGGAAAGATAAGCAGTCCATCGTGAAATTAACTTTCGCGTCTAAGGCAACACCCTGGGTCGGGACAATAGTCGGATCAACTCCTAAAGCAGCATCAATATGGGTATTAACTTCCTGAATCGGCTCAGGTTGCAACTCTTCCTCTAATTCTGATTACAACAAAGGATTTACTCTGAGTCTTGAACCAGAATCCCCAGATTCCAAATCAGAACCTGAAAATTTAAAGTTTTGCGTATATATTATTTAAATATACTTCATAACAAAACTAATTTGTGTTTGTTATAAAACGAAAAATTATTAAAACAGTTTCAAGTTTGCGGGAAAAATTTTTCAATCCGGCAACGTCGTAAATTCTTAAATATCGATCCAGCCGATAAAAAGAAAAATAAAACAAAAAAAAGAAATATGTATACAGGGTGGCTCACGCTCAACGGGACGGAGCTTTATGGGAAAACGACCAAAGATAAAAAATTCGTTTGGGAGGAATACGTAGGTTACAGACGGCTACAATTTAAAATTTGTTAGATGTATACAGGATGTCCCACATATATATAAATATATTATATAAATATATTACTTTAATAAATGTATAGCAAATAAAATCGGTTTACAACCAAAGCTATCTACCGATCAGTGTTGCCAGAATATATTTTTGTAATGTACCAGATTTGTCTAAAAAATGTACCAGATTACATAAAAATGTACTAGATTCTATAAAATTACCAGATATTCTAATTGTGAAGCAGTCATTAAAGAGCAAAAAAAAGGTTTATAGAGAACACGAACAGAGCAATTTTAAACAATATTTTATCTCTCGACAAATATCTCTCGAGCAATTTTTGAAAAATATTTTAATAACTTATGATACTATTTTATCTTTCGAACAGTTTATAAACCTTTTTTATCTCTTGAGCTATTTTTAAACAATATTCTATGTCTCGATAAATTTTAAACATTATTCTATCTCTCGAGCAATTTTTAATAACTTTTTTATCCCTCGAGCAATATTATTACAATATTTTTGGTAAAATTTTTAACACTATTTAATCACTCGAGCAATTTTTAACAGCATTTTTAACTTTTAAGCTATTTTTGAACAATATTTGATCTTTCTTGCAATTTTTGAGCAAAATTTTAACAATTTCTAACACTATTTTATCTCTCAAGCAATTTTTATTAACATTTTTTATCTTTCTAGCAATTTTTAAACAATGTTTTATCTCTCGATAAATGTTTAACAGTATTTTGTAATTCTCTAGTAATTATTGAACAAGATTTTAACAGTTTATGATACTATTTTATCTCTCGAACAATTTTTAAACTTTTTTTTATCTCTTAAGCTATTTTTTAACAATATTTTATCTTTAGATACATTTCTAACATTATTCTATATCTTGAGGAATGTTTAACCTCTTTTTTTTGTCTCTTTAGCAAACTGCACAATATTTTAACTCTCGACAAATTTATAACAATATTTTAACTCTCGATAAATTTTTAATAATGTTTTATGTCTCGAGCAATTTTTAATAATGTTTTATGTCTCAAGCAATTTTAATAACTTTTTTTATCTCTCGAGCAATTTCTATTAGTATTTTATCGTTCCAGGAATTTTTAAACAATGTGTTATCTCTCGAGAAATTTTTAACAGTATCTCTCGAGTCAATTGTAAATAATATTTTATTTGTCAACAAATTTTTCAACAGTATTTTATCGCTCGAGCAATTTTTGAACACGATTTTATTAATTTATAATACTGTTTAATCTCTCCAACAATTTTTAAATATTTTTTATCTCTCATTAAATTTCTAACAGTATTTTTATTCTTAAAACAATTTATAAACAATATTTTACCCCTCAAACAATTTCTAATACTATTTTATCCTTCGACCACTTTTTAACACCCTTTTTTACCTCTCAAGCTATTTTTAAACAATGGGTCCTATGATTGAACGTTTACGTTATCCGTAACGTACATGTTAGGCCGAGTTTTAACTGTAATGAGGCAAGTTTGTATGATGGAAAACCTTTTCCAACACGTTACTGTTATTTTCCGCCTGTTATCTTCTAATTTAACAGTTTTCCATCATCCGAACTTGCCTCGTTACTTTTAAAATTCGGCCTAACATGTACGTTACGGATAACGTAAACGTTCAATCATAGGACCCATTATTTGATCTCTCGTGCAATTTTTGAACAATGTTTTATCTCTCGAAAAATGTCTACTATTTTAACTCTAAGCAATTTTTAACAATTATTTTAATTTCTTTGGCAATTTTTGAACAATATTTTTTACACTTCAAATGGAACATACGCTAAACTAGTACTAGATTATGCTTCGAGTGTACTAGAGTATCAGATTCTTAGAGAATGTACTAGATCTAGTACAATTGTACTAGACTGGCAACACTGCTACCGATATTGGGTCGATGATGTAGCGGTCTAACGCGCTTATATTCATTTATAGGCAAGTTTATGAGTCCGAGACCAGACCATGTGGATTTTTAATTAAATTCATGGTTCGGTTTAGGATTTGATGTGTGCCGTATTAATAGAAATTCAATTTCTATTGATATGATATGCAGATTATAAAATCGCCATACATTATCGTCTCGATGATGG